CTTATCTGTAAGATGGGGACACACTGGAGAAGGAAATGGCAAACCATTCCAGTATCTTTGCCAGGAAAACCTGACTTTGTCCATGGGGTGACGCAAAGTCGGACATAACCGAATGACTGACCAACAACAAACCTTGGGTAAGTCACTTTCTTTGTGACTCAGTTTACCAATCTGTAAAATAAGGGATTTGGGCTCTAAGGTCCCTTCCAGCTCTACCTCTGTGATCCTGTGATTCGACCTCAGCCCCTTTCCGAGCTTCTGCCAAGCCTGGGTGAGGAGATAGGGATGTCTCTCTGGCTAAGTCCTGCCCACATCCAAGCTGAGTGAGAAAAGTGAGGTCAAGGCCACCTCACACCAACCGCCCAGTTGCCCCAAAGCTCCCCTCCTGGGCCTCCCTCTGGCCCTTTCAGAGGTTCTGAAAGAAAGTCTCCAAAGTCAAGAGTTTTCCTCCATTCTCCCCCCTCCTCCTTCCATGTTTTTATGAATTTTAAACACTCCCCTCCCCCCTCCTCATCTTCAGTCACCTTCTCAGTATGGCAGCTGTGATACATTAATTGTCTTGTTGAGGCTTGTCAGAGCTGTCAGGGAATGTCACACCGGCCCAAACCCACCGTCAGAGAAGGGGGAGGGGGTACTGGCTGCAAAGTACCTCCCGGTATGCGCTCTCTCGCTCTCTCTCTCTCTCTCTCTCTCTCTCTCTCTCTCTCTCTCTCTCTCTCTCTCTCTCTCTCGGACCCTCCCCTTTCTTTTTCAGTTGTTTGGGAAACTTGATTTCCTCTGTTCTTCATTTAGATTGGGCTGGCCTGGGGCAGGAAAGCCAAGAGGAAGGGCGAAAGAAAGAACAGATTGAGAAGGATGAGCAAGAAGGAGCTGGGAGAAGTCTAAGCAGACCCCAGCCATCCAGAAGGCACACCCCCTGCTGGCATTGTGGACTGATCTGACCCTGAAGGAGAGAGAGGGAATGAAGGTGGTAAAGACTGGAAGGGACCGAGGAGACCAAAAGTGAAATCTGCAGGGGCAGAGAGAAATAGGAGGAGAGGAGACAGGAGACAGGAAATAAAGAAAAGTGACCAGTAAACATTTATTAAACGCCTACTACTGGTGCTAAGCACTGGGGATTCAAAAAGATTCCTGTCCTCAGGAAGCTTACAATCTAACTTCTAAGAGAAATGCATAAGAAGAGATTTGTTCTTACCCCCCAGGGAAAGCCAGCTTCTTGTTTTGGTTCTGGGCGTAGGACTGTCTCTGTGCACTTGGGCAGCTCTCCCTGATGGTGAACCTTCCTCAAGTGTGGCCAGAAGTCAGGAGAGCCCTCTTCCCATGGCCTGGAGATGCAGTAGAAAATGGGAAGTGATGGATGGAGGTGGAGCAATCCCCAGGGGCCATGCTGTCTCCTAACCGAATCAGAACTGCTGAAAAAGCTTTATCAGCCTCTCCCAAACTTTAGGCGTTAAGGGTCAGGGCGCAGGAGAGGGGATGTCATTGCAGAGGTGATGCCAGGCCTGTGTGATAGAATATGGAGGAACCTGAGAATTCTCTGGGAGGGTCTGTTGTCAAGGTCCCACTACACCTGAATTCCAGAACTCCACCCCCTCCATAGAGAATACAGAAGGGCCCAAAAGGTGTTGTCAAAGGTGCTGTTGTTACTGACTTCATGACACAGATTTGTTATTTACCAATCCCTAATTGTTGTTGTCTTTGTGACCCCATTTGGGGTTTTCTTGGCAAAGATACTGGAGTGGTTTGCCATTTCCTTCTCTAGCTCATTTTACAGATGAGGAAACTGAGGCCAACAGGGTTAAGTGACTTGTCCAGGGTCACACAGCTAGCAAGTGTCTGAGACCAGATTTGAAGTCAGTTATGTGAGTATTCTCAACTTCAGGCCCATCACTCTATCCGATGAGCCGCCTAGCTGCCTCTAATTGTATTCTGCGCTTAGGACCTCAAGCATCACACTTCAAGGTCAAATACATAAAACTTCCCCTATGGACACAAATAACACCGGAGAATAGAAATAAGACATGCAGGAAAATTTGCCCAGGTAACCTGACACCCTAAAGTTGTGTTGCTGTATCATGCCCCCCTCCCCAATTTTTTAACCTGGCTCTTTCACTCTTCTTCCTCCAAAATGATACAACTCAAACATGATCATATATTGGGTTAGTCTGACACCATCTCAGAGGCTCATACCCTCACAGATTGCTGATGGCAGGGGTTTTCTGGTAAATGTTTAATAACCAACTCTCCAAGAAAAAATGTTAGAAACACATAAGTTTAATCTGCATGATAAACATTTTCTTCATTACTTTCTTAAGTCTAGACAACCAACAAAATAATAAATGAAGTCTTGGTTTGTGTTTGCCAAATTTCCAAGCTGTTAATGCTCATATTGGTAATTTAACAATCGGCTCTCCCAAGCTCATGCAAGCTTGCTTTAGTACATCCCTGCTGCCAGCAACCTTTGCATGCATTATGTTCCTCATCTTGGCCAGTGCTTGGGGATGACTCTAGTCCTGCCTGTGGCTCCAATCGGTGGTACTCTGCTCCAGAATTTCAGGTTATTTATTTCCCTCCTTCACTGAAGCATTTGGTCAGTCAGTTAAAATATTTACTTATTTGTATTAGCCCTGCCATTCCTCTCAATTTCTCTCAGTTTTTCTTTTTGTTTTTTCTTCCCTTCATGGTCTTTGCAGTGTGGGATAGTGGATAGAATGCTGGCCTTAGAGTCCGATAAACCTGGATTCAAAATCTGCCACTGATCAGAGCCATAATTAGAAATTTTTTGTAGGAGCAAATTCAGTTGGAATTAGGGCATAAAGAACAATCTGCCTTGCTTATACTCTTGCACAGGAGATGGGAAGCCAGCCCACATTAAGTATGGCCAGTGCCTCTGAAATCTACGGAATGTTCCTCAACCTTTTGTTAGCCTAGGAATTGGAAGTTGACAGAAAATTGTAAATACAATGACAGAAATAGTTAATACCAAATGTAATATGAACTGCCACTCCCTTAAATGCTCCTTGTAATGTCAGAATTTCAGTAATGTCCTTACATTCCTACTCTTTATTTATTTACTCTTAATTGGGTTGAGCTGAATCATACCCTAGGGCCCCCTCACCCAGGGATTTTGCCTTGTGGGGAGCCCTGTAACAGCTGGATCTCAGCATCTAGCATCCTTGCCCTTTTCTGTTGGGATTTGTGGTATGAAGGGCAAAACAGCCAGAATGAAGTGGCTTTTCTTGCCCAGACTGCCAAGGGCCACTGGGGTCTCATGACCAGTGCTTACTACTTCATACTGTCTCTTCCTCCTTTCCTCCTAAAGGCATAAGAAGCTTTTGCATGAGTCTTGGAGTTGGGAAATCCACTGGACATCCCCCAGGGGGGCAGGCTTGCCACTCTGTTACTTCAATTAAAGACATTTTATTCCTCAGCTCATGGCTTTGATTTCTTTCAGGATCTGACAAAGGGAACAAGAAGAAGGCTGATGCCACAAGAGGGGCACCATAGTTATGGGACTTTGGGTTGTGGCATTGAGGGGAGGTCATGGACCAGGGCTAAGGGAGGACACATGCCCCTACCCAAGACATCAAGCTTTTGGGTCAACTCTCCCATCCTATTCCAGATGCTTATTGGCCCTATGACTACATCATTTAACTTTGCCGAGCCTGTTTCCTCATCAGTAAAATAGGACTATGAATATCATTAGTACTAAATTCATGAGGCAGTGTGGTACAGTGGGCAGAGAGGCTGACCTTGGAGTCATGCATGGGTCTATATCCTACTTCTGAACCATACTAGCTATGGAACTATAGGCAAGTCACTTATCCTATCACTGAAACAGGCAATTCTCTAAGACTGGAAATTTCCAGTGAGTTGCCAATCTCCAATGGTGGAGGGAGTTTCCACACCAACCTTTCCCTAGACAGATTAAATCTCAGGTCTGGACAAAAAAAAAAAAACGTGCCTCCTCAAAGGGTTGTTGAGAGGCTACAATGAGATAATTTATGTAAAGAGCTTTGCAAACCTAAAAGCATAATATAAATGTCAGCTATTATTATTTCCCCTCCTCATCTGTCTCTCTCTGTCTCTTAGAATCATAAAATTTTGGAACCAGAAGGGAATTTAGAGATCGTTTAGTTCAGCCCCTCATTTTTCAAGTAAGAAAATTAAGGTCCAAGTAATTTGCCTAAGGTCGAACAAGTAGTAATTGGCAAATCCCAGGGCAGTGATCTTGTCAGCTGGCCGGGTTGCCTCACTTCTGTCCCCTGTGACCCCCAGATTCTACTAAACCTTGCTTTGTTTTCTACACCCTCTCTGCTTTCCCTTCCTCCCTTCTCTCCCTCTATCTCTCTATCCCTCTCTATCTCTTTCTCTCTCTTTCCTTCTGCCTTCTCCTCTCTGTCTAGGTCTCTGTCTATCTGTCTGTCTGTCTCTCCCCTTCCTCATTCTCCTCTCTGTCTAGGTCTCTGTTCCTCTGTCTCTTTCTGTCTCTCTCTCTCTTTGTCTCTCTGTCTCTGTCTCTTTCTCTGTCTCTGTCTGTCTGTCTGTCTCCTTCCTCCTTCTCCTCTCTGTCTAGGTCTCTGTTCCTCTGTCTTTTTCTGTCTCTGTCTCTCTCTGTGTCTCTCTGTCTTTCTGTCTCTGTCCTTGTCTCTGTCTGTCTCTCTTTTTCTCCTTCCTCCTCCTCTGTCTAGGTCTCTGTCCCTCTCTCTCTCTCTCTCTCTCTCTCTCTCTCTCCTCTCTCTCTCTCTCTCTCTCTCTCTCTCTCTCTCTCTCTCTCTCTCTCTCCCCCCCCCTTCCTCCTCCTCTCTGTCTATATCTCTGTCTCTGTCCCTCTTCTTATTTCCCTCTTTTACAGCAAAGCAGAAACCGTGGGTCTAATCTAACTCCCAGAGAAGTTGTGAAGATTAATTCATTTTGCCTACAAACTGTTTCTTTGTTTTTTAAAATACATGATTAAGCGCTATATGAATTTTTCTAATTGACAAAAATAATGAAAATCCCCACAAAAACAAGTGACATGACCCTCGGGTCCTGTTAAACCTGAGCTAATATCGTTCTCTTTTAGTTTACCAATTTTAATCAAGAATCATATGCAACATAAATGGTAAAGTAATGGTATGTAAATTATCTTCGAAGCAATAAAGCACTTAATTTAGGCCACTTAAAAGTAGTAATTAAGGCTGGGTGAACATCTAAGGTTTGGAGGTTTGGTTGTAATAAGGGAAAGTTTGACTGATAAAGATGGTAATTGGTATTTATTCTGGATTTTTATTCCGCAGGCCTCAATTGGCTTCAGCCAATTAACTTGTCAAATTCTTTCTCACCCCGGGGAACGATGAGGCAATTTTTTTACCCATTTAATAGGAGGGAAAACTGAGACTTCCAGCCTCAACTCTGTGCTTTCTCTCTTACTCTCCCATATCCTGGCAATCACTACCTCGAGGAAGACCGACCATCAGTCAGTTAGTGAACAATGGTACCTACTGAATGCTTATTGTTAAATTCGAGCATTTAGTATTTTGGTATGATACAAGGAAATCAGGGGAGACAGAGGTGGATCTCGTTGGCCTTTCCTGTGTTGGCCTCTTGCTCCTCTGGGTTTTCAGCACTCTGTCCTCTCTGTTATCAACTACCCTTTAGTCCCTCATCCCCTCTCCCCAGGATTTTTGAGTTTGATAACAGGCCTGGCACGTGTGTTGGTGATGGGGTCCCTTGACTAGGGTGTGGCACATCCTCTACTGTTGGGGTTATTCTAACTCCTGGTCTGGGTCAGGCAGGTCATCGTGCCTTTGGGAAGGTTCTACCTATCAGCTGATACTGTTGGACTTGGAATCAGGAAGACCTGAGTTCAAATCCAACCTCAGACTTACCAGCTGCGTGAACCTGGACAAGTCACTCAGCCACTGCCTGCCTCAGTTTACTCATCTGTAAAATACAGATACTAATAGCACCTGCCTCCCAGGTTTGCTGTGAGGATCACATGATATTTGTAAAGCGCTTGGCAAACCTTAAAGCCCCATATAAATGCTAGCTAACATCATCATCATCATTATATTACCATGTCCTTCAGAGGGCAAAGAGTCCCTTTGGGATAGATCAGTCCATTGGGCTCATTCTTTACTGGCCGGCTGCAAGGTTACAGTGCTCTCTTTAGCAAGGTCAACAGCTCAGCCCACGCTCAGCAGGACTCTGAAAGGGTCTATCCTCTCCGGTTGGACAAGTCTTCCTGGTCCAGAGTGAGTTCCCGGGTACTCTCCCTTTGCTTTGGGTAGGTAGCCAGCTACACTTCCCAGCTGGGGTTTTCTTCAGATGAGTGACAGGAAACCAAGGCAGTATATGCTTCACTCATTATCTGTGCTGGCCTTTCCATATGTGCAGCTGAGATAGTCAAGCCTCAGATCACATCTAAGATGCTGAACACTTCCTTTACATCTGGAAGAGTTTCTTTTTGCATTTTAATGTTTACATTTTTACATGTGTGTGTTTGTGTGCGTGTGTTAAGCCCTTCACAACTTGGTCCCTTCCTACCTTTTCAGTCTTACTTCATTTTACTCTCTCCCACACACCCAGCAGTCTACTGACACTGGTGTACTCCTCCTACTCAATACTTTATTCCTTAGCTCCATGCTTTTCACGGGTTGTCCCAATGCCTGGAATGCTCTCCCACCACACTTCTGCCTCCTGGCTTCTTCAATATAAGACTCACCTGAAAAATCCCACCTTCTGCAAAAGACCTTTCCTGTTCTTCCCAACTTGCCTCCTTTCCCTTTCCTCTGAGATTAGCTCCAAATCACCCTGGCTATATCTTGTATGTTCATAGTTATTTTCATGTTTTCTCCACCAGACTGGGAGCTCCTTAATGACAGACACCTTGTTTTTTGCCTTTCTTTCTATCCCCCCCCCCCCGGCTCACAGTGCGGGCCCCATAGAAAGCTCTTAATAAATGCTTGTTGACCAAGTGACTTTTCAGAAACACTCCTCACCCCAACAAATCTCCCTATCAGCCTGGAATTCCTTTAACAAGGGAAAATGCTTTTTATTTCATATTTATCAATCATAAGTTAAAATCCTGGGGATTACATGAAGAGATGAGATTTGCCGAGACCTGGAGGAGAGGGAGGAGGAAAGCAGGGGGAGGTATGAGAAAGAGGAGGTTAGAGGAGGCAGGGAAGGCCAGAAAGGTGGAGGCAGGGAGGGAGACTCGGAGAGGAGCAGCAGGTGAAATGAGGTTGGTCTGCAGTGAGAAATGCTTAAGAGTCAGCTGCCTTTGATTAATCAGAGGCTGATGTTCCCAGGAAATCCCAGGGGCCCTGGCTGCCCGTGTCTCACTCATAACTCACAGTGTTTTAAAGACAGAGGTTCCTGTCAGTCTGGGGGCCCCTCAGACGCTCTCAGCCAGCTCTGAAGCATCTCTAAAAGGCTGTTGCCACAGCTGGCTTCCTTTACAAGCCCCTCAGGAGGCACTGGGGGCTGAAGCTGGGACGGTAACGGGGACCGGAGCTTCCCACTGGTGCTGTCTCTGTTTCTCCAGCCTCCTGAGAGCCCTGGGCTCAGTCAGTCCCTCCTTCTTGAGGTGTGTTGTTTTATGGAAAAGAGTCTCCAAGGAGAGTCTTTGGCCGGCTCCTTGGCACCTGCGTAGGTCCGAGAGCTTGGGCCTTGATTTAAGGATCTAGGTTTGGCTTCGGGCAACCTGTCGCACTCCTTAGGTTTTAATTAAAAAATCCACACAACAGAGTCATATTTTTCTGGCTTCCAGATGCATTTGCAAGTCTTGTGACTCACAATTTGCTCATTGCAGTCTCCTTGCCTTTACACAGGCCAATTTCCCCTTGCTTCTACCTCTACGATGCCAGCCTGTATCCTTCTACGTCCTCCAAAACCTGGCCTACCTTGATTATAATCCCCTCCCCTCCCCAGCCCGGGCATCTTCTTTGGACTGATTTCTACCTTAATTTGCATCTCTTCTGGAGGCTCATCCTTAGTTTACATTATATTCAAGCACACTCATTTGTGCCTGTGTCACTAAGAAGATATTTTCACTTAGGTCCCTTATCTTCCAGGTCAGATTGAAAACTCCCCAGGGCAGTGTCTGCACCTTCGTATCTTTTATATTCAGCCTGGATTCGAGTCTATCTTCAAATGTGTATTGGCTACTTGTCTCTGGGCTAGCCACCTAACCTCTTGGTCCCAGGCAATTCACTGAGACTACAAATTGCTGAGAAGGTGCTTACCTGCACTGATAGGAGGGAGGTTCCCATACTAATAAGATCTCAGGTCTAGCCCCTACTATCCCTTTGGTGATGAACTTATAATCAGGACAGAGCAAGGTTCAACAAACCATAGGAACTCAATGCTGACTTGTCTCTAACTTGCTGTGCAATTCTTAGGCGCTTTCCTTTTCTGGGCCTCGGTTTCCTTATTTGTAAAATGGAAGGGTGCAACCAGATGATCCCTAAGGTTCTTTCTGGCCTCCAAATTCCATTATTTCACCTGTGTATGCTTAATATCTGTTAACTAGATGGCAAGTTCCCAGAGGACATAGACCATCCCTCATACTACCTATCCGCTTCAGTGTCCAGCATTGTGCTGGGCATAGAGCAAGTGCCTGACAAAATATCTGTTCAATTTTGACTGCCTGGCCTTTTGGGATTCCCAATCCCAGGCCTTGTTTTGAGACAGACCTTTGAGATGAAATCTCCATTTTATCAGGCTAAAAAGCTGGGGCTTAGGGGCAGCTAAGTGGAACCGGCCCTGAAGTCAAGAGGACCTGAGTTCAAATCTGGCCTCAGACCAAACACTTGACACTTACTAGCTGTGTGACCCTGGGCAAGTCACTTAACCCCAATTGCCTTAAAAAAAAAACTAAAAAAAAGGCTGGGGCTTAGAGATGTTGTGACCTGCCTAAGGTGTGGTTCCTATCAGAGCCAGGATGAGAAGCCATGTCTTCTTCCTCAAAAGCCCAGCACATCCAGCCAGCAAACCTTCAGTCCAGACTGAGGAAGAGATGCCAGGTAAGATTTTCTTAGCCCGGACTCCCTTCCCTCTGCTCCCTCCCTACTTCTCCCTCCTCCCATTGCCAGGCTGAGGAATGGTGTCAGACGATCCTGAGAGCCTTTCTCAACAGTATTCCCTGAGATGAAATGACCCTTCACTTGGTATTAGGTAGGGACTGGGTGTGCCTATGGATGCATATTAGGCACTGCCAGTTGGTAAGGAGCTTTTGGGAAGGCGCACTTTCTTGGTGGGAGGGGATTATGAATCATGACTTATCCAGCTTTACCTGGTTGGGGAGGAGGGGCTTTGGAGTGTTGCTAATATGGAAGATTTACAATATTTATACACACTACCCCTGGTACTTGATTGGAGGAGGTGATTTGGGGGTACCAACTTTGAATCCCATAGGAAAATGAGAATTCAGCTGGATTAAGCTAGGTGTCAGCATACTGGCCTCCAATGTGGCAAGGTCAGGCCCAGAGGTCAGTTAGATGGGGTGAAAGCTGATTAAGTCCAGGAAATTGTGCCAACCATTTGTTACTAGGTTAAGGGGGATTTTAGGATAAGAGTCAATAATTCCATGCTCTGTTAGCTTGTCTCTCTTTTATCTTTTTTTTAAATGTGATTTAATTTGTATATATGTTTTATATCTATTTATATTCATATATGTTTCCTTCTCTATTAAAAGAGGGTAGGGAATGTTTCATTTTTGTCTTTATAACCTGAGCACCTGGTATAGTGCCATCTCTCTCTCTCTGTCTCTGTCTCTCTGTCTATATATGTTTATATGTATATATATATATATATATACATATATATATATATACATATATATATATACATATATATATATATATGCACACACACATATAGTAGGCACTTAATAAATGCTTACTGATTGATTTATTCATGGATATACTTGTAAAATCCTTTTTGACAAAACCCACCTACTATTTTGGGCTCACTAGGAAGAAACAAATTAGGAGGGGGCAATGTGCATCTGCCCTATGTCAGGGTATATCGACTGGTGGCAAAAGTAGAAACAAATGTCGGTGGCTAATGGGTGCCAGCCACTAGAGATAGATTTTGAGTTGGAAGGAGCCTTTGAGATCAACTGATTTAATGCCTTCATTTCACAAATTGGAAAACTGAGGCTCAGAGAAGCAAAGGGATTTGTTCCAGTGTCGGGGTCATTTATTTGCCCAGTGTAGAAGAGCTGGGATTCAGCTCTTGCTCCAGGTTCAGTGCTCTGTGTCTATGCTATGCTTGCTTTCAAGTTAAATAATTAAAGAAAGGAAAACTCCAGGGTGTTGGGCCTAGAGTACAGTTGCAAGAGTAGATTCCTTTATTTCTCTGGTCATTTTATTACATTATTACCTGAGGTCTAATGGCCTGCATGGTGATGTGGGATCTTAGAAAACACATTTTCAGAGGCAGTCTCCTAGAAATGATTTTCCAGAGTAGTACATATCTTCACAGCCTCACAACTGACTGAAAAGCTAAGGGAATGTGAGTTCCCACCATGCTTATTGTTAATTATAAAATGGCATTTAACTCCACTACTTCCGTAGAGTTGTTATCTTGCTGTGGGTATTCCCTTCCAGGATGCAGATTAAAACTGTTCATGCCTGCCTATCTGGTTAGATTCTTGTCCATGGTTTGCCATAGAGGGTCCACTTAATGTGCATACAGCCTTCCTTAAATTCTATGGACATTGATAGAAAAAATAATGGAGTAATTGAACTGTCGTTGGCTATTTCTCATTCTTTTTACATGCTCCACCCTCTTCCCCAAACTATACATTCCTTTGATGACATCCTGTGCCCATTTCTCATGCATGATTCCTTTTATGTCATGTGTGGAATCCATGTAGGAAATATGTACATCCAAGAGGCACTTCCTGTTTCCAGGAGCCTTTTTTCCTTTCAAGGAATCTCCACAAAATTAACTTCTGGGTACAGCATAGCCAATGGACAGTCATTCCAGTTGTTTCAGGATGCCACCTCAGTGCCACCCAGTGGCATTCTTATCCACAGTATGTAACCTCATGATGATCTGATTGGTTTTCAACCTCAGTGCATCAGAGACTGTAGTGTTCAATAACTCACAGCCATACAGCATAGCTTGATAAACACTGGGGCTAAAAAGGTGGGCCTTTGCTTCAGGAAGAAGCTTGGGGTCAACTTTGCAGTTTCCTGATATGTGATTGTCCAGGTTATTGGTGAGGCTGAGGAAATCCATCAAAGCCATCTGAAGTCCTAACAACACCCAGAGTCTTGGAGCCAATGGCAGTAGCAGCTGAATTCAGTGAGAAGCCAACACAGTCAGATGGTAACCTACCTGACGAGGCTAGCAGTGAACTGACACAGGTGCTGAGACATGTCCTAAAACATTTGTTGTACCTTCTCAGTAAACATCTTTCTATAAAAGCTAATTGATATCAACTAATTAATTGATATGGGGGGAATGCACCAATGGGAACTTGTGAGAGATAGTCTGAGAAGCCACAACCCCACAGAGTTACCCCTAGAATCCCGAGGGAGGAGTATCAGCCATCCTCTGGGAACTCTCTGTGTGTCTCTCTTTCTTTCTATGTCTCTGTCTGTCTCTGACTCTGTCTCTGTCACTGTTTCTCTGTTTCTGTCTCTGTTCGTCTGTCTCTCTTCTGTGTCTCTATCTCTGCCTGCCTGTCTGTCTGTCTCTCTCTCTCCCCCTCCTTTTCTTTGTCTTTCTCAGCCCTAGAAGACCTTCTTGGTTGGATGGATGCATTATGGAGGACATTGATAAGAGCTGCCCAAAATTAGATGGTGTTGGTGGGTTATAATCTGGCTTGTTGGAAGAAGAACCTATGCTGGGGCAACTACGTGGTGCAGTGGATAGATCTCTGGCCTTGGAGACCTGAGTTCAAATTTGACCTCAGACACTTAATATTTACTAGCTGTGTGACCCTGGGCAAGTCACTTAACCTGATTGCCTCACCAAAAAGCAAAAAAAAAAAGTACCTACATGGATCCATTGAAGTTTTGAAGCATAATGGTTTTTTCTAGTTGTACTGCTACTGCTCTAGGTCATACTCAGCATTTCAAGCTTGGCATTTAACTTTCTAATGGAGAGACAGTCTGATGTAGTAGAAAGAGCTTTAGATCTAGAGTCAGAAGGTATGGCTTCACATACTGGCATTTATAGATTATGTGACTGGGCAAACCACAAACCTCTTTGAACCTCAGTTTTTCCACCTATAAAGTGGAGATAAAACCATTTCTATCTATCTATCTATCTATCTATCTATCTATCTATCTATCTATCTATGTCTCATAAGGTTGTTATGAAGAAGGTGTTTTGTAAATCTTGAAGTGTAATCTGCATGAGGCTGTATTATAACTGGTATCCCTGCTTCCATTCTCCCTTAGCTTCAATCTATCCTAAACACTGCTACCAAATTCGTTTTCCTAAAGCACCACTTCACTTACACCAAAAACCTAGCGTACCTCTATATTGCCTCTGGA